GATGACAGAGCTGTGGCCACCATATTTAACAAGCTCGGAGAATCTGTTGTGCTCTTTGATGATAATTTCTACTCAGAGATTTCTATCAAAGTAAGGAATCATTGCAACCGAAAATGGAACATCTGGATGGCAAACCTAAGGCACAATTATTTTAACACTCCTTGGGCATTAATTTCATTTCTTGCTGCTGTTTTCTTGACCATACTTACTGTGATACAGACTGTATATACGGTTCTGCAATATTATCAACAATAATAAGTGCAAGGAGTTTCAAAAGGACGTCGTTAAGTCAAGCTCAGTATTAAAGTCTTGGGTCAAACTCCAAAGGAAATTATTTTTCTTAAATGTAACATGCTAATGTGAGAGTGTGCCCTTATTTCCGGTTTGCTCCTCCAATTGGATGCAAGCCTCTTTGAGGGTTCAAGTCTTGTTGGTGATTTTGGTCATATATCTACTTTTAAATAATGTTATAATAATTTGGAAAAACTTGTTGTAAATGTATGATGGATGAGGACGCTAGCCAGGCTGATTATTATAATTAAGGTAAAGAAATCTGATTATTTTTCTTATGAGCAAAGAAATTAATTAATTTTTATTAAGGAGGTAAAGGGGTACCTCAAACCCATTATAATATCATATTTAAGAAAAACGTTCAAGTATCTTCAAGAAAAACAAATAAAAGTATAGTTTCAAATAAGAAAAACTTTTACATGATCAAGTTTATTGAGATAGTAGCTAGATCATGAAAACATAATATTAATTTTAAGGAAAAGATAAAACCAATACAAGGCAGTAGAATCTTGCATGCTTCTATGGGGTCTTGTACAAGCACTCTTGAGATAATCCAAGCCACACTTTCGCTTCAATCTAAAGGAAATATCAAAATTTAATTAGTTTAAATACCTTAATCTTCTTTTGATGATATTGAGTTTTCGTTGCCACCTCTCTTTTGATCTACCCCCCCCCCCCCCCCCAAAAAAAAAAAAAAATCTAGCCTTCAATGAGCATTGATAATTAACGAAACCCTTGTAGAAAAGATTAGACCGTTTTGAAAAAGGAAACTTTGATGAAATTGCCAAAAGTGTCGAGACCTAGGGATAGGTGGCGACAATTTGATGAAAAATTCCTTCGAATGGCGCGATGAAGCAGGTATCGATATGGGGAAGATGGTGTCGCACCTTATCCGTGTTGAGCTTTTGGATATTTTTGCAATTTCTTCAATGGTAAAATGGGATATCAAGTCCTTTAATGTCAGATTTGTTAGGATCGGTAAACTTTATTTCTATTTAATTTAGTCCATGAATTCAATGCTTCTTGTAGCAATTAGTCCCTAACCTTTCAAAATATTTACACTTAAGTCTCATGATTTCTGTTCTTTTGCATTTTAATCTACACAAACAATGAACATTATATAAAATTTTAAAAAAAAATCGTTCTACCCCTTCAAATTTGAAAAAATCAGGGTTAAAATGAGAAATTAAAATATATAAAATACATCTCATCAACAACCACCATGATAAAGATCATCATCACTTTAAGGCAATAAAAGTGCACAAAATACAATATCTGAAAGTGTTCCTTCAATGAAGAAACGAGGATAGCATGCAAAGATGCGACCGACATGAAAGATATGGAACAAGAAGCTCTGAACTTCTATTCAAAACCTCTAGATAATATTACAGAAGATCCATTTGTGAAAATGATGCTCCTTGATAGATGCTTCTCATTATTGAGCTTATTCACAAGAAAGCAAAAAAAGAAAATGACCATTCTCTTACTCATTTTATACTGTTGGAGATCCTTGTACTGTTGGAGTAGGATTTGATCAATTCTAATCAGCTGCCTTTCTTTGTACTGTTGGAGTTGTTTTAGATGACCCAAATGTGTGATCAAGATAGTGACTTCATTCATTTGGCTATTGATTGCCTCCAAGAAATGTTGCCAATCGCTAGAATTCGACATTCTTTGATATCCTTCGATGAAGTATCAAGAATCTACAAGGCCTATTACATGATTGCTGGCTTCCTTCACCTCATGTAATAGATTGTTATGCCAATATTTCATCAGTAGTAGAAAAACGAGAATGGAATCTCATACACACTGCAACAGAGCTTGGAGAGGCAGGAATCTACTTCAAGAATGTGGACAAGAAGATGACACTGACTCCATTCCTCGTAATTTAATTGCTTATAATTAAGCCGTGCCACAGCAATGCATCTCGGTATGTTGCTGATTATGTTTCAGTAATGAATTGCTTTACTGACTCAAAAAATTATGTTGAAATACTCGGTCGCTCGAGAGTTATTGAAAATTGGTTAGGAGATGATAGAGCTGTTGCCACCGTATTTAACAATCTTGGTGAATCTATTGTGTTCTCCTATGAAAACTTCTACTCCAAGGTTTTCAACTTTTCATTCGTAGTGAGGAATCATTGTAACAGAAAATAGAATATATGGCTGGCAAGCTTAAGACAATTATTTTAGCACTCCTTGGTCGTTGATTTCATTTATTGCTGCTATTTTCTTGCTTATTCTTACCTACCGCGATACAAACTATATATACAGTTCTGCAGTCTTATCAATAATAATAAATGCGGTCAATAACTTAAATAACTTAATAATAATTTTATTTTAATAAAAATAAAAAATCTTATATTTAAATTGCATAATATGTAATTATTGTAATAAGAGATAGGAGAGAATTTTCTCTCATTGTGCAATTCAAAATTGAAATAATAAAATAATAATAAGTGTGTTTTAACTCAAAAGAACTTAATATAAATTAATAAATACGATGATAAGTATCTTTCTCATTTATTCAATTTTATTTTATGGGGTTAGAGATATTTTTACAACAATAAATCCCCAAACATTAAATTATGGGACAGATGAAAAATAACAAATAGATCCAAATGCAGATTCCCTTAGCCAAAAGTTTTCTCAGTGCTGTAAAACATATACAGAAATCCATCATCATCCTTGAATGACTGGTAGATGTAATCCATGTGACGCCCTGCAAATGAATGATTAAAAAAATGGTAATTGACAGGTTCTTAAGGAAAGAGATTAATAAAGAAAGAAAGCAAAGTCAAATGCATTTCTGGTTTTACCAGTTTCTGGTAATGTGTTCTTAACAAATACAAAGAGGGCTTTTCCAGGATCCAAATGTATCCTGCTACTTAAAATGTGGATGAATTGCCCCACGGACATGTCTCGAGGAACCAAGAATCTGCAGAGAAATGATGATTCAGGATGTAAACAATCCTAACTGGTATAATAAGTTTTTGTACGAGGAATCAGAGATAATCGAAATCTGTAATTACAAAGGAATTTGACCAAAGAGGCGAGGCCTATTTTTCTAAATGAAGAGAAGTGTAATTAAGTTGTTTTCCTTTGTTTTTAACAGCAGATCACTAATATGAATAGAAATATGACATGTGAAAACATACTTTTTCTTCTCCATTTCAGGAAGGTCTGTCCTTGAATATTTTTCGATAATGACCTGCAAAGTAAATGTATGATTTGCACAACCAAATATGAGTTATCATTTAAAAATTCATTTCTCATAGGAATTTGATCAAATAAATGGCGCTCCATATCAAAAACATCTCTTTTCAAGAATTCCAACAATTACATATAGCAAAAATAGCAAGCACAATGGGATTCAAGGCCATATTAACTTACAGGAATTCTATCTGGGTATTTCGCCAGCATAGCTTTTGATTCCTCCAGCCGTTCCTCTACACAATTGAACAAGAACAAAAGAATCAGATTTGATATGAAATTAAAATACATGAAAATCGCAAAAGATTAGGAAGCTCAGGAAACATTACCGAAGGAATGTCCCTGCTTGAAAGCCTTAACTTTTCCCATGATGGATGCCTTAGAAAAAAGATGAATAGGATAACAAATTCTGAGTATTTCTTTCCTGTTTCTTCTTGGGGGGATTCTAGTTTGTAGGGTCAAATATCAGAAATTCAGGACGAAACAAGTTTAAAAAAAGAATTGTTTAAGGTAACAGACAGCTAAAGCAGTTCTGTTTTCCCTTTCAACAAGACACCTCGAAAATTCGTTTTCCTTTCTGGACAATCATATGCGCGACCGCAATAATTTCTCATTTAATAGAATAATAGTAGTTTGCTTGTGGATTATGCTTCTAAAAAAACAAAGATGAAACTTGAATAAATAACTAAGGGATTAATTAAATATTGATAATCCAGTATCGAGTTTTGGTGGTGTACGTCTTGGGTACATTGAGAATTTTCATAGTCTAAACTACTTTCCTTTGTGCAATTTGTACCGTAAAAAACAGTTTAATTAAAAATATATGAACGGAAATGATTGAATTTGCTCCTTAATTTCACGTTAGCAACAAAAAAAGAGGGGGAATAGCTAGTCAGGGTATATCACTGCCAGGAATCAGAAAAGCAGTTCTGGTCTGTTTCTTCTTGTTTTTCATTTT